TTATATGCTAATTAAAAGTAATATACAAGAATTTGAAAAAGTATCCTATTTTACAAAAGAAGTTAAAAAAAGAGAAATGGTGAACTAAATTACCTGCTAATATAAACTGTTCAGTTGCAGGTCCGGCGTTAACAATATTGGTAGGTGATCCATATATCTATTGAAAACTATTTAATAATACATATACACATTTTTTTTATACTAATATTAAAATTAAATCCTAACCTCTATCCAACCTCCTGGTTTAAGTACGCGACAAATTTCATTCTATATATTTATTATTTTAATAAATGAATTTCATTAGCAGTGAAAAAAAAAAAGATAAAATCGTTAATAACAAAGCTAGTATACCAAATGATTATCAAATAGACTCTCCCGAAATTTTGGAGACACAGATTGTTGGTACACATAATCGAACGTCTAATAGTTTGGTAATAGTTTAGTAATAATTGATAAAATGAGAATTTTAAATAAGAATGAATACATAATCAAGAATCAAGAAACCAAGAAAGAGCAGATTACATCGTCAGGGAATGGAATTCCATCATGATAGTTGTGTTCAAGAAACGCAGAATTTTCCGGTAAGCAGTCCTAAAATTATGATAAATTTTAGTAAACTGTTATTTTATAAAAATATTTCGACATTTAATTAAATTTTACCGGATTAAAAACAGTAGAAACATCCAAGCCCAAAAAGATTGACATTGGGAATTTTATTGACATTTCGTTTAGCCAAGATCCACCAAACGTTCTATTAAATAATAGATATTCATTAAAGTTAATCAAATAAAATAAAATTTAATAAAAGGTAACTAACCCAATTTCAAGTACTCTTGCACCTCCACAAGTTAATAACTTTGTGACAGGAGCAGAATAATTAGAACCAAATATTTGCTTTAAAAGTTTAATGGAATCATTAAACCTTATAGCTTCTTCGTTGTCACTTGGAAGGGTTAGCGTGACATTTGTGGCTAAACGAAATTTTCGACCTTGAATAAATCGATAGGCCTCAAGTACTGAAAGAGGTTTTAAATATATGTCTTTATTATGTTTACGGTCTTTTTCATTTACTTCATTTTTAGGTGCTCCATTTTTAGAAAGTTTTTTTAACGATTGTCCCATTATTAAATAAAGGTTTCTTTTTTTTTTTTTCTTTGAATTATCTAAAGGAAAAATACTATGTGAATATATATATATATACGATCCTTTTATCTATTTTAGTACATATGTACGTACTACATTCAACGGAAAAAGTTCTCAATATTTCAAATAAAGTAGCGTTAGTGACGATCCATTTAATAGTTTGGAATATAAATGCAGACTTATTTACATCATTAGTTACGGCTCAATTGCATTTTATTTTATAAACCGATTTTTTATATAGGACGTAACTAAGTGGTGTCATAAATCTGCATTTATAGTTTAGACACCTATTTTATAAACGTTGGTATATATAGTTTTAAAACTCGGTTTACAAAATTAAAATCGTACGTACATAGCTTAATTTCAGATTCTCAATTTTATAAAATAATAATAATAATAATAATAAAAAATAAAAAAAATTAAATACTGCAATTAATCAGCTAACTCCACGCAATGAC